TGTCGGTCTAGATTGGTGGTGCACTGGTATAATTTCATTTGGGACAAACTGGCAAAATAGATTAAGGACTTACAAAAGGAGTAGCTGTGGCAGAGAGTGTGTTTTGTGAGATTGTGCATATAATCTTAGAATAATGGATTGGGCTTGGTACAGTTATGAAAACCTGCACAGTGAATTGGTACAAATGGTGATTTCTTTCAGTGGTAAAACATAAAAATGGGCATCTTCTCGTGACCAGCTTACTGGTGTTGATGAGCAGTTCTTGAGTGCATTGAAGGTCATGTCTTACTCACTAACCACCATTTGTCTGTATTTGGCCCACAACCAGCGCTGCAGAGCAGAGGTCCTAGCCGAAGGCTCCGCTCTCTGTAAGAGGTTGGGTCAATTCAATTTACTTTCAAATGTAGAACAGACTCTGAATGGACTGGAATTCCATTCAGTCCACTATATTTGTAGATAGGGTCTGAAAATCAAGGTTTTGATCTTCCTGATACCAATGAGCAGTTGATTCACAGTCTTTCAAACGCACTGTGGAGGAGTTTGGTTGTGTTGAACACTTGCCAAATGATGGCGAGGGAGGTGGGGGTTAGGATTTTACAAGATTTGAGAACAGCCAGGAGGTGAAGCCATCGAGCTCTAAAAGATGTCCGTTCAGCTACCGTGTGAGGAATGTGTATTATTCCAGAACATCAGCTCACCCACAGGGAATTTGTGTTATGATAACACTGAGGCGATGTGTTATGGTAGCAGGCAATGTGTACAGTAATAAAGGGCTTTCTGACACGTGCTGCCCTGCTGTGCTGGTTCACTATAGCTAACTGCACTATTTATAGAGCAAGCCTCGGACTGTTCTGCCTTGCTTCTGTTTGTGCTATAAAGCTCTCAAATTGTGCCATCTAGTAAGCTCTGTTGCGGTATGTTTTCTGTCTTTCTGTCTGTCCACAAAGCATAGGGGCAAATACTGTGGTGCCTGAGTATTTCTTCTGGTATTTTTTGCACAGCACATTATGATTCCAATTAGCGTTATATTAAAGTTGTGGAAGCTATATCAACAAGACTAATTGCAGATGAGCTGTCCATATTAGTCATCAGCTAACATGGTGCTAGAAAAAGCATGAAAATAAACAGTGCTGACCTTCTACGATTTCTCAAGTAATCATTCATTCACAGTGTTGTTATATGATGCAATTCTAGGCATTTTGCCTAAAGCAGTAGTAAAAGCAAGTGCATGAAGTAAGGACATCTGTAAGTCAGTAAGACAGAAGGCATTCAGAAGGCTATCCAGTCAGTGTCAGACTGAGTGTCTACACTTGTGCACTATGGCCAGTGTCCTACCTTGATGTTTGTTAACTATAGGCCCAGGGGCTTGTCTCACAAAGCAGGATTTCTTTAAGCTAGGGATTTTGAATACTGAGGGAAGTTGTAAACATTTGCTAACAAATTTGAGCTAAATTAGGCTTCTCTTTTATGTTATATGTCTTATAGGAAACACAGGGTGTCCAAACCCTATGTGCCACCAGGGGGCAGTGAAGAGCCTGCATCTCACATTTTGTTCAGCATAAAAGACTACTGCAGCCATCTAAAGTGCTGCACTATGCAGCAGTTATACCACATCAACCCATTGGTTTTGTAGGTGCATGCATCCTGAGCCGCTAGGGGACCCCCGTGGGCAATTATGACAGAATTTAAAAAACAGTTTTGACTCATAGTGGAAACTAGCAGCACAGTGAAGAATGAACTAATTTCAGTTTTGTCAATGTGTTACAGCTTATCAAAATCAAAGTCGCCACATCTTTATTGGACATTAGCTTTGTTTTCTCCTCCAATCATTGTTCTGTGTAGCAACTGTTCAGTTGTCCGCCGTTAATTCAGTCAAGCTTTCAGGTTTTTAGCAGTGAGCTACCATTTGTTCATTTGAATGTACTTTGAATTTGAAGCTTCAGATGTTCAGAATATGTGCCTGGGGGATCTGCAAAAGTGAGACCTGACACTTAGGTAGAGTCCATTTCCTAAACGAAATATAAAATATCAGCCACCCAAACTGTCTACTTCCAAGTGTAAAGTCATCAGAGGTAATATAAATGAAAAAAAAAATCAATGCCTGCTGTGGCAGTATGCTTTAGCCTAGGATGCTTGACAGTTTGAAATTCTGTGGGCTGATTTCAATTTGTCATCTTCACTGAGGGTAACTTTTGCTTGTCAAGAGCAGATACATCCTTTATTAAGACATTGCATTGGTTGTTGGGTTTATGTTAATCTGTGCTCTCATTAATGTGTGTGTAGTCTTGCTGTTGTTTTGTCTTGCTTGGAAAAAATATGCACTTATTATTGTATAGTGGTCTCTTGCCCAGCACTGTGGTAAATGCTGCTGTCGTAGTGCCGCATAGCCTTCATGTAACCTGCTGTAATGTAATAGTTCCCAAAAAAACCCCAGGCAGGTAGGGGCCCACCAAACAGTTGTGCCCAGGGACTGATAATTTGATTGTCCGGGCCTGCTCGACTTACGTAGATTAAATGGAATAAACCAAACTTGCTGTTAGGTCTGAGAAACAAGTGGCAGTGTGACTAGGCTAGGAACATTAGCTGAGGGGAAATTAGATACTTAGCATTTGTCTCTTTATCTTAAAGGCTTTAGACTGGCTGCTTTTCTCTGTGCAAATTTCAAGCCACTTAATATGGCACTTAATATGGATTTGTAGTCTGTTTTTAATATCAGTGGCAGTGAGAAGTGGAGTGCGTTTTTTTGTGCATGTAATCCAGTGTGAGGTAGCCTTAAGAGTCCCGAGTTTTAGTTTTTTTTTTTTTGGATTATGGCTCAAATATCAAATATGACTGAAATGCCCATCCCTACATGAAGCTTAGTTCCATCTATATTTTCTGTCTCAAGAGGGTAGGTTACTTGTTACCTGGCTATACCATCATGGCAACTTGTGCTGCACACCTCAGGATTTTGGTCATGAACAGCTGTTGGAACAGTCAGGGCGAGCTTCTGACCAATTGGAGGCAGCCTTCTGATGGAGGTGGACCTTTTTTGGGTCACTTTTTCCTTTTTTGTGATGCTTAAGACATCAATCACATAAAAATATCACTTTTAGTGGCAGTAATAAACCATACTACATACACAGACCGGCCAGTTTGTTAGTGTAGTTCTGCAATTACAGTGCTAACAATATTCCGACAACCAAATAATGCCTTTTCTGTGGGGGTCCTGACCACTGAAAAATAGGATAAAGGGGCTATCAAAGAATGCAGAAAACAGATTGACTACAGACTGTAATTACAAAGTGTACAAGTGTACAAAGTGCTCCTGTATGGTTTATTGAGCTGATAAAATGGAGTGTAGTTACAATTAAATGTACTTAATGAAGTGGTCAGCATAGATTGCAAGAATATTAAGCAGTTATTACTCCAGTAAGAATCAAAGACTAAAACCCAACATCACTGTTTAACTGACATTTTATCAGCACACTGATAAAACTGTTACAACACTGTTCCTCGAGACGCTGTTACATCTCTTAGGGATGGACAAGTGGAGAAATATTCTTTTTAATCAGACTATATCTGGTCAGTACTTTCACAAAGTTGCTTAAAGTTTCATCATCATTACAGTATAACTTACTTTATGTTATATATAACTTACTTTGTTATATATTTAAGTCACTTAAATGTATCACATTGAGGAATGTGAGTGCTCCATCATACTTGCTAATTTTGTATCTACATTTACATTAAATAGTGTTACTTATGAATATTTGCAGATATCAGAACAAATGTAAATGCAGAATAAACAAAACGTGTATTCTCATATATGAATATTTACTGACGTGTTAGAAAAATCACAAGTTTAACTGCAGTCCAGGCCACACAAATGCTTTATACATATTAAAGGCAAGCCTCATTTGAAACGAGCCCATGTTTAATCCATTCACTGTTCATTTTTCTCTGTGATTTAAGAAATATTACATTGACCTGCCTTTGCATATGTTGTTTTTGTTAGATATTAATTCTGTGGTGCAAATGAGAAAATCTCAGTACAAGCCTCAAAACCTGAGGCTATATTTTTCAATAACATACAGCAATTTTACATAGCTAACTTCCTATTTTCCAAATTCCAAATGTTGCAAAAAGTACTTATGGAGAGCTATAATTAAGTAATAACTCTCCATGTAAAACATTCTGCAACTTGTTGCTTAAGTTAAAGCAGTAGTTCTCAGTTCAAATGCAAAAATGCTTTTTCTTATTTTTTTAAACATCTTTAAATGAACCATTCAGTAAAACTGATATATGGTTGGATCCATATATATATATATATATATATATATATACCTATTCCTGCAAAGTCACTCCTATACAGGAGTTTTTCTATGCAATGTTAATAATAATAATTAAATACTAGTAAAAATATGTTTTCTTTGTGTACTATTTTGTCTTACAACACTCTGCATGCACTTGTTCAGCCTGATTGGGTTTAAAAAAACATGTTCTAGACCAAAACCTTATTTCAGATAATAATTTTCAGATCATAAAACAGTGTTTCAGGCATCAGGCAGCATATTCATATGAATATGGCTGAGCTGAAGCAGTTCTGTATGGAAGGAAGGTCCAATATTCTTCTTGAATATTGTGCATGTCTGATCCGCAGCAACCAGTCAAAGGAGGTTCAACCAGTCATTAAATACAAGGTTTAACTTGTATTTAATTGGTGTGCATAATAAAGACATAAAAGATTATAGTTGTTTTTGTGTTATTAACTTCAGCACATTGTGTTTGTCTGTACTAAGATGAAGAACAGAAAACATTCTATGACCAATTAACACAGAAAACTAGGTAATTTCAAGTGTTCACATACTTTTTCTTGCCAGTGTAGATTGCAAAGCAAGTTGCAATTGCAGCATGCAGAAATATGATCTAAGAACAGTATTTCATATGGTGCAGCTCTTGTTTTTAGCTGCAAGTAGTAATAATTTGTAAATGTAAATGCACTTTTATATTTCTTGCAGGATGATAATGATGGGATCCCCTGGTCGGAGGAGAGAGTGGTGCGCAGAGTGCTCTACCTATCCCTCAAAGAGTTCAAGAGAGCACAGAAGACTAAAGTTGACAATGGCACAGGAATTATAAACCGTAAGTATCCCTCCTTCAGTATTTACTCACATATACAAACACCATACAAAAGTCAGAGACCACCCTACATTTATTTCGCTTCCAGTCGAAACAGCCATTAAGTGTTCACCTTTTACTTGAATACAACTTTCTTTTAGGGAGACTCGCTTTCAGTTTTTCAAAGTTCAGTCTTAGAAGTTGGTTGCATTTTCTGCGTCCCACAGTCCAATCAATCCCAAACTCATTCGGTGATGGGTTGGGCTGTGGGGTCTGGGCTCTGGGGTAGTAACAATAGCGTTTTCACTAGCTAGCTTGCTTCACTTGTGTCATTGATTGTACTGTACGGACATCAAAGAGCGTGCATTTGAGGTGCATTTTGTTTGCAGTGGATTTCGCAGGTTGACCCCAAATGTGGATTCTCATCTGACATTACATCGTTTAAGTCTAGCGCTCACAAGACTCTTTTTATATTCATTCCTTTGTTTCACAATATTATTCTAAGCTAACTTTAGCTCACTTGGCATGTTAGCTAGTCAAACTGTAGAACTATATGTGACAACCACAAAAATACCTTACCTATTTGGTATATAGCCTATGGCTTATATATATATTGTATAGCTTTCCTATTTGCGGCTATACAGTTACCTTTTCTTTGTATCTTGAATACATAACACCATTACATGTATTCCTTTACTACCCAACCCTGACAGAAACCCTATATGATATTGTAATGTATATTTAACTGTAATGGATTTGAGCTACTTTTTGCACTTTAAATGTCATTTTTTACACATTTCTACAATTAAGTTACTCCCTAACAAAATTAAAGTGGGTATCTGATGCGACGATGTGCTGTGTTTGAGTGCAGCTAACTTAATAATGCACATAAAAAGTGACTGCTATCCCCAGTGGCCCTGCTGGGCAGCAGTATTGGTGCTCCACACACAGTAGGATGCTGACCTTTTAGTGGCAGGAGAGAAGCCTTTTCTATTATCAGCACCACAACTAACACTCTGCATCCGTCTGCCATCATAGAGCTCAAAAGCCTGCCTGTTTGGACTAGTAGCTGTTTAATAAGAAACAGAGATAAATATTTAAATTTGAAATTGACCAGCAATTGTAATTATACAGTGTTTTACTGAATGACATGGTTGTCAGCGTGAAATATGAATGTCAGTAGTTAATTAGTCAGGTGCACAGCCTCTGTTTGATTGATGAGTCAGGAGCACAGCCTCTAAATGGTTGACGAGTCAGGAACAGAGGTCCCAAGGTGTCAGTGGATGGTTAACAGCCCTACTAACAGCAGCAATCACTCTTTTCAACACAGAGAAGTGGATAAACAATCACAGAAGATATTCAGTGTTGGATTTGTCATTATGGATTTATTTTACTAAGTTTCCAAAAAGACAGTGGAGTTCAAGGATGGATTTACAAAGCTTCTGAAAGGGATCCGATCGTAACAGAGCCCTCATTAAAACAGCTACATGCTGGCCTTCTGGGAAAAAAAAATGAAGGTAAATCTGTAGCATGCAGCATTTCCCAAGCTGTTTATTCTATTATGTAGGGCATCCTTTGACGTCACATACGGCATCGTCGTCCTGAGAGGATTAACAGGATGCGGCGCTTCAGGCTTGGACACTTGCAGCCCCTCTGCACTTGAGATTCGGGTGCGGGTCTCTGGCTTCAAACAATCAGCCATAACTTCTTGTTTCACTGGGGTATAAATATAAAGTGCCACAGGCAAATTCTTTTAAATATCCAGAGAATACATCAATGATGTATGACAAAAGGTTGGTCTTGGACATTACTTAGGTCTTGGGGTCAGAACTTCTACCAGAACTACAATCAGATGCCACCTACATAATCAGATGTTTGGGATGCTTGCCAGCCTCTGCTGTCAAGGCCCAACAAACTCAAGAGCCTAGAGCAGCGGTCACCAACACTGTTCCTCGAGATCTGCCTTCCATAAGACTTTAGCTCCAACCCTAGTCGACCTCACCAGATCCATCTTATTATTACCTTCAGGAGTGCTTATTTTGCTGATTGAGGTGTGTTACAGGTGGGTTGAAGGTGAAACCTGAGGAAGGTAGATCTCCAGAAGAAGTTGGTGACCATTGGCCTACCATTCGCAAGACATTAATAGAACATTCATTTGGACCGTGTTCTATGGTCAGATGATACCAAAATAGAGCTTTTTGGCAATGAACGCCAGAAGTTGGTTTGGCATAGACAAAAAGCAAGCCATGCAGAAAAATACTTCACCCCCACTGTGAAGTATGGTGGTGAATCTTTGATGTTGTGGGGCTGCTTTTCTTCCAAAAGCCCTGGAGAGCTTGTTCAGGTACATGGTATCACGGACTTCATCAAGTACCAGCAGTTATTACATCAAAACCTGAATGCCTCAGTCAGGAAAATTCAGCTAGGCCATAGTTTGGATCTTCTAGCAGGAGTCTGATTCAAAGCACACCCCAAAATCAACACAAGAATGGTTCACTGACCACAGAATCAAGGTTTTGCCGTGGCCGTCCCAGTCCCCTGACCTAAAACCCCATAGAAAACCTGGACGAAGAGCTGAAGGAGAGAAGAGTGGACATTCAAATCTGATTGATCTGTATGGAGGAATGACCTCAGATCCTTTGCCATGTGTTCTCCAGTCTCATTAAGCATTATAAGGGAAGACATAGAGCTTTTGTCTTTGCAACGGGAGGCTATACAACAAGTGTGGCACACAGATTTGTTGTTTATTTTATGATAAGATTTAGGTGTTTTTCTTTTAAGCAATGTAATTCAAATGAAGGTTAGATTTTTGTTAATATTTTGAACGAAAGATCATAAGGATAAGCAGTAAAGAATGCGTTTTACAGCCCATTTCACTCATGTTTAACAGGGGTGCCAGTACTTGTATAGGGCACTGTCAGTGGGGCTCTGTTTCTGAGTTTCATATATTCGGAGTGTCCCGTTTTTTTAATGAAATGTGTGAACTCTTGGATAGAGATGCAATAAATCTAGTCAGTTTGAGGGAGACCTTATAGGTTTGGTTGGCGAGGCAAACTGCCTTTGAAGAGAAAATGATCTCTGTTGCTGTACCCTTCAGAGACTTTGTGATTGAAAACATGCCTAAATGATGAAAGCAATGATACTGGATATCCACATCCTTTTTATGTTTTATGCATAGAAAATGCTGAAGTGCAGAAGTGACTTTTTTAAAGTTTACTAATGGATGTTAATCATTTAACACCATACGAATGAAAGTTTCGAGGAAACTGACTTGATGTTAACTGATTTAGAAGCATGTATGGATGGGATCCAGTATATAACATGCGCCATAGCTACATATATGTAGAGTTATTTAACTTCACCTGTGCCAGCGCACGGTACTTTTGGGCTTGCATAGAACTGGGCGGCTTTCCTTTGTTTTCTCAGCCACTCAGTGGCCCATTAGGACTATTATTGTTCTGCCATGATTGCACTGAATATGCGTTAGTGAAGTAAATTATGCCCCGAATAATGCCCTCTCTGTATGGGTTGCATTTGCTGGGGCTGCATTACGTTGTTGAGTCATTGCACTCTAATGGGTGAACTCAGTGGCCTGCCTGTGTGTGTGTGTGTGTGCACAGCACGCTGCATTGCCTGCCCGCTCACACAGTCCCCAGAGAACTTGAAAGGGAACACACACTGCACTTGAGTTCAGACAGTGTGCATGCTAAGCAGCATGCTTCCCTATTTGTTATGATTAAGCTTCAGTGAATGGCATCACTTTTTTAGTGATGTGCGGTTTTTAGTGATGAGTGGTTTAGTACCATACATAACAAAAAACTTCTCATAATATCTATATCTATAAGGGCTGCCCAATGATTACCACAGGTAATCATGATTAATCGTATTCTTTTATGCAGTTAATCACAGTTAATCACATTTGTCTTATTTTCGCAAGGTAAATCCTAAGGATTTTTCCATTTTGAAAGCTTTTGTTATAGCTACATCAGTTGACATTGCTGAATCAGCAGTGTGTTTTACTTGTAGATGATACTTCAGACTCAGTGTACTTTGGTGATAAATTCATGACATAATGGTCACAAAGGAAGCTGCAATTTGAGCGATATATATATATGTGTGTGTGTGTGTGTGTGTGTGTATGTATATATTATATATATAATCTGTGTATATATATATATATATATATATAATCTGTGTATATATATATATATATATATATATATATATATATATACAGTGGTGTGAAAAAGTGTTTCCCCCCTTCCTGAGTTCTTATTCTTTTGTATGTTTGTCACACTTAAATGTTTCAGATCACCAAACAAATTTAAATATTAGACAAAGATAACACAAGTAAACACAAAATGCAGTTTATAAATGAAGATCTTTATTATTAAGGGAAAAAGAAATCCAAACCTACAGGGCCCTGTGTGAAATAGTGATTGCCCCCTCCATACATAAATTTACTGTGGTTTATCACATCTTTGGAAAGCTGAGTTCAATTTCCCTAGCCACACCCAGGTCTGATTACAGCCACACCTGTTCTCAATCAAGAAATCACTTAAGTAGGACCTGCCTGACAAAGTGAAGTAGACCAAAAGATCCTCAAAAGCTAGACATCATGCTGCGATCCAAAGATGTGTGTATATATATATATATATATATATATATATATACACATACACACACACAAATCAGCCAGTTCATCTCCTTGTAGCCACACTCGTTGCCCACTTTATCAGCTCTACTTACCATATAGGAGCACTTTGTACTTCTACAATTAGATTGTAGTCCATCTGTTTTTCTGCATACTTTGTTACCCCACCTTCACCCTGTTTTTCAGTAGTCAGGACCACCACAAAGCAAGTATTATTTGGGTGGTAGATCATTCTCAGCACTGCAGTGACACTGACGTGGTAGTGGCGTGTTAGTGTGTGTTGCGCTGGTCTGAGTGGATCAGACACAGCAGTGCTGCTGGAGTTTTTTAGACACCTCAGTGTCACTGCTGGACTGAGAATACTACACCA